GATCGGTTGGACTCAATTAATCCGTCAGTCTACGGATAGGACACCAAGGGTTCTATAACGTAGACTTTATCTACCCATTGAACTAGAGGAGGAGGTACGTAAAGTATTGCAATAGCGTGCCTGGATGCACTAGTGACCCCGTTCAGTGTCTATACATGCCATGGCCATGCGAGGAATGTTTAGGCCACATGCAGGCACTTGAAGCGTTTTGAAAATACAAAATCTATTTACTACCAAATTCTTAATGTTTCTATACTCTCTTTCACCTATTATTGCCGACAGTTTCCTGTAAATTACGTCCAAATTCTACGTGCAACATACGCTGCCGGCGGCCGTTGCTCTCGCGGCTGCACTGTGCACAGTTACACTTACGTGCACAGTGCAGCCACGAGAGCAACGGCCGCCGGCAGCGTATGTTGGACGTAGAATTTGGACGTAATTTACAGAAAACTGTCGGCAATAATAGGTGAAAGAGAGTATAGAAACATTAAGAATTTGGTAGTAAATAGATTTTGTATTTTTTTAGCATTATATTTTATTGAACCGCTTCAAGTGCCTGTGGTTTAGGCCACCTAGAGGTGATTTAGGCGCCTACACACAGCACTGATACCGGTATACCGGACCGTACCCAGGGTACGTTCCAGCAGTACCCTAGGGGACATAGACCCTATGAGCAGCACGCATAGTTGCATGGTGTTTGTATGCTGTATGTTGTTGTCTGTATCATGTCTTCATAGGTGGCTACCTAATTGTTGTTGAAATAAACAGAGAAGGTGAAGCAGCGACTGGTTATAATTAATGAGTGGATAGGTATATGAAAAATATACTAGGGATGATATATAACGAATTGAAAGTAAGAAAACTCGAGGGATGATATCTATATATATATATATATATATCGATATATAGCAAAAGAAAAAAGAAGAAAGGTGGGAAAGTCGAGATGGATATACATGGGGTAACAGATGGGATAACTAAGTAGAGTATGGACTATTGAAGGCACATCTCTACACTACTATACTGATTCTTTGTGTGTGTTACAATACGCTACATTACCTCACTTTCACTGTATTTCATTGCACTACGTTACGTTACATTACATTACATTACATCCCGTTAGGTTTAGCTGGGTTTACACTACCGAGACATAAGACCGAACATCTTTTGGTTGGCGAATTGGGAAGTTGGACCAATTTAGCAATTCGCCAACTCCGAGTTGACGAAAATAGAACATGTTCTAATCATGCGTAGCAATGGTTGGAACAGTCGGAAACGGGCTAGTAGTGTTGCAGTTTTTTCACACTTCCTGTAAAGTCACATAATGTTTCTCGGTGAAAATGAACAAACAACACGTACCTTCAAGAACACCCCCGTCGGGCTACCCCCCCATTTACGAAAATGACATAGGTCTCAATCTGGACATCATCTCTATCATTGAACCGAAAAGTATATACACTAAAACGTGTTTGTCAAGCAACTCGCATATGGCTCTAACGTGACGTAATAAAGCGTATGTTATGGTATTCATTTATGCTCACCTAATAGACTAAAGTAGAATCCAAGCTTCTCCTTTTGGAATGCAGACAGTACATCATGGGCATGCGCCGTCGTTTCATCGTCATTCGTATCGCTGGGCATGAATTTCGCGCGATCCATGGCGACTACTAGTATATGCGTTCCTCAGCTGATTCTGATGGCTTACAACTATATATAACGCTGCCTGCGTACAGCAAGCCCAGCTGCTGCTTGTAAACACAAGCTGTCACCACGTGACGTGACTAAAACGGCGGGGTTGGTCAGTGACGCGAAACGCTATATGGCTGGTTGTGTGTTTACATGGACCATGGACGCACTCCTCGTATCTCTCACAAATCAACGACACCGTGCGAGTACAATCACAGGGCTGCCAATTCTCACGCATTGACCGTGAGACTCACGCATTTTGACCAAATCTCACGCTCTCACGCTGATCTCACAATATCTCACGCACAGCAAAAAAAATGCTGAGATATCTCACGCACAGCAAAAAAAATCTTACAATATCTGAAAACAGTCACTTTAGTATGTACCAAATTGCACAAATTGAAATTATAAAATGCAAAAGCTCCCTACCGTGGGGAGAGGGAACCCCCCTCCCACACCCACCCCTCACTCGGTCGCTTCGCTCCCTCGCATCTCACTCTCGCCTATCACCCAATGTTGGCAGCCCTACAATCATGCGAACCTAAAACAGACACAAGAAAGAGTAGCATAGAGAAATGGAATGAAAGGTAGAAGAGAGTGTAAAGGGTGAGGAAGAGGGTAGAAGAGAGGGGGTGAGAGGGAGGATAGAAGAGAGAGAGCGGGAGGGGTCAGGGAGAGGATAGAAGAGAGAGGAAGGGGTGAGGGAAAGGATAGAAGAAAGAGAAGAAACTATAGCAGAAACGTATACTGTTTAGAAATCGCCTAAAAATACATCCTTCAACGGGGGCTGTGGAAATGGAGAAACAGTGAGTCGTTTTTCCTCCTCAACTGACTCGCACATCCTGGCTACGGGAATACTGGTTTCCATGCAACATATTGTCATGCAACCGTACCGTTAGAAAGCGCGTTTTTCCAACCACAAAGGCGATTCGAGATGAAGGAAATTATCATGCAAAATTTACTAACATGCAAACAGAAGACAGGGAAGCAGAGCAACCTACTGCCTCCCGAACGAATTAACAATGATATGCCACTGCCAATTATATTAAATCAATTCCTTCGAATTTGCAAGAGGAAAGATATTATCGGTACACATAGGTTCATGGTATTATTAATATTTTCATCCAATCTAATATTTGACGGTAATTTACACTATGCCCTATACTGAAAAGGCATCCTACAAACTTGCTGGAAATTATATCGTCGGCTAAAGTTTCCAGCGAAGTCTGTAGACTTTTACTCCGTGGCCCCATCTATCGGGAAGAACAGTTATGAAAGCAAAGCGCCAAGAGCAAGGTAATAGGGGCAGAACATTTGACATTGAACACGTTGACACACACACACACACACACACACCACACACACACACACACACACACCACACACACACACACACACACGGGCACACACACACACACCAACCACACACACACACACACCACACACACACACACACACACCACACACACTACGCACACAGACACGCGCCGCCGCGCGCGCAGAGCACGCACTCATACACACGCACGCCCGCACGCACGCAACGCGACGCACTGCACGCCACGCACGCACGCACAGCGCAGTTTACGCATTACACGAACACACACACACACACACACACACACACGACACACACACACACACACACACAGCACACACACACGCACACACACACAGACGCCGCGCGCGCGCCGAAGCACGCACTATACACACGCCCGGGGGCACGCCAGCGCGACGCACCGCACCACGCTACGCACGCGCATTTACGCATCCACGAACACACACACACACCGCACACAGACACACACAGCACACACACCACACACACACGCACCGCGCGCGGCCTAGCGCGCGCGCGCGAGCAGCACATACACACGCACGCACGCACGCACGCACGCACGCCCGCACGCGCATTTGCGCATACACGAACACGCACACATGGGCATAGAATAAAACATTATACAAATAGTGGCACGAATCAGACTTTGGCATAATTCTAGCTAAAGGATCATTTTTACTAGTGACATTATTCACAGTGTCATTCAAGATACATTAAATATAGAATAAAGAAAAAATAAATATTTAGACAAAAATGCGACATACGCAAATATGCATGTACCATGCATGAGGAATAAACGTTTAAACAGGTGTTTATTAGCTCTTGATAATATCAAGAGCATATTATAAAGCCTTACAGTTTATATGTTTTTAATAAGATGTTCTAGCTTCCAGTCGATTTCCCCTCCCTAGATTTTTGCGTCCCTGAGAAGGACAATCACCCATGGCTCAAGGGCAAACAGAGCTCATGCGCAAGCGTTTTTTTGTTATTTTACTCCCCTTCCCCTCTGTATGTATGTCTCATTCTCTTTGTCCGTCTTCCTCGTCGCGCTCTCTCTCTCTCTCTCTCTCTCTCTCTCTCTCTCTCTCTCTCTCTCTCTTTCTCTTTCTCTCCCTCTCTTTATCTCTCCTTACCTAATCAACGCGCGCACATAAAAGCGCAATTAAATTCCACCGCCCGCTGCTAAATTACCGTCGAGTGGGGCAATCCCCTGCCGTGCAAACACATCCCAGCGGCAGCGGCGTGTATTTACGCACGCGGCTTGCCGGAACCTTGGTATCGGTCTACCATATAGCCATCTACTACTCTAAACGGCGGCGCAACGCGCGTCCCCCGGTGATCCAGGATCTACTCCGAGGGTAATTTGCAAATAATGGGACGCGTTTCCTGTACTCGAGAGTAAAAACTTAAGTGAAAATGCAAGAGAGAAGATATGTTTGCGTGAGTATTATGGGGGGTAGGGGTGCAAGAGTGGACGCGCCCACGTGCGGAGAACAAAGCCTCTCACGCGCTGTTGCTGCTAACAGAAGCATCACCGATGTCTGCAAAGCGAAGTTGTGTTACGAGAGAGCGGTCGTGAATAAAGACGTATATTGTGTCGAGTATAAGGAGAAGAAAGAGTGAGCGAAAGAGAGAGAGAGAGAGACAGAAAGGGGAAAATTGAGAGACCCAGAAAGAGAGTGAGGGCGGTACAGACAGTGCGCTAGACGGAGAGAGAGGAAGAAATAAGAACGAGACTACGAGAGTGAGAAGCTGAGGTAGAGGCAGAGAGGGAGAAAGAGAGAAGGAGGACGGGAAAGAAAGACAGAGTGAGCGCACGCGACAGAGAAGGAATAAGAAGGAGGGTGAGAGGGTGAAGTAGAAACAGAGAGGGAGAAAGTGAGAAGGAGGGCGGGGACGAAAGACAGAGCGAGCGCACGCGCGAGAAAGTGAGAGGTAGTGATAGCGAGAGAGAAATAGAGAGGGGAAGAGTGAGAGAGCGGGGGAAAGAGAAAGAGATAGCAAGAGAAAGAGAGAGAGAAAGAGAGAGAGAGAGAGAGAGAGAGAGAGAGAGAGAGAGAGAGAGAGAGAGAGAGAGAGAGAGAGAGAAGAGAGAGAGAGAGAGAGAAAGAGAGAGCGAGAGAAGAGAGAGAGAGAAGAGAGAGAGGGAGAGAGGAGAGAGAGAGAGAGAGAGAAGAGAGAGAGAGAGAGAGAGAGAGAGAGAGAGAGAGAGAGAGAGAGCAAACATGGGAACCGGAATACGGACGATGATTACACATTTTCCGACTGCCGAGGTAAGTTTTATTAAACATGTTTTTAAACCATGCAATCTTTCCGTGTAGGTGTATACAACGTAAGACATACCACCAACAAAGATAACATGTAAAATTCTCCATCGTACGGTCGTTGGTCTTTATCTCTATGATTATATAACGAGACACTAGCTTAGTGTCCTACCTCGAACAGAATGGATACCGTGTGTATCTACATACATCTGCTCATTGCAATTCGTTTAAATTATTGCTCGGCTATTTTAGTCCAACAGACAAGCGTTGTAAACCTACGACATATAAGGCTGCTGACGCTAGAGCTAATATCCATCCTCCCGTACTCCCGTAATCAACATGATACATTATATATATATATATATTTATTTATTTACCGGCTAAACTGCGGGCTCCACAGCACCACGCAGTATTGCGATAGCATCTCCTCCTAATCATCACATCTCATCGATGACAATTATTTTAAACAAGCAATCCGTCAGACCACCAAGGGCGAGCGTACGTGTACTCGTACGCTGTAAACACACACCCGCGCGCGGGCACCGTGTATGATTACTCATACTTGCTTGGCCACGCTCTGTCCTCGCTCGCCACTAGCAAGGAAGCAGCGGGCGCGCAGGGAGCAGCGGTAGGAGCGTCTGTTTCTCTCACGGTTCCTCTCACATATCTATAGAAGCCATCAGCGACGGAGGTGAGCCGGAGGAAGAGAAGGAGAGCATCGGTACTCGGGGTGACGAGGAGGAGAATGCTGAGGAAGTACACGGCAGGTGCGCGGCGCCGAGCTTCGGCTCCGGCAGGTAGCGGCACACCTGCACAGGTAAAAACTACAGGTAAGAGACGTTATAAGTGTACGAGCATCGTCCGTTGTTTTGTAACAAACGTGTGAAAACTTTGCGGTTTTTTGCAAAACAGGTGAACACGAGAGGTAGAGCACGCTAGTGATGAGATGTACGCACATCGTACATCCGCTGTCGCAAAGCTAACGTGAGCATTTTTGTAGCGACACAAGTTCAAACTAGATACAACAGATAAGAAACACTAGATGTACAAGTTTCATCTGTTGTCTCGAGGGTTACGATAAAACCTCGCGAGTATGTGCGTTAATGTTACTTCTCCTTATACAAGCTGGTTCAAACTAGGTGTTGGATTGTTAACTGCTACAACTTAAAGATTCGGTCTTGCTTTTTGACGTTGTTATAGCCATGCATTCGGGGAGTAAGTAGTGGGCTTCACCGATGGCTTAGTAATCTAGGCTAATGTATTAGACGTATGCCTCAGGGCATTCCGATATAATTGTGAATGATCTTACGATAACGAATAACTAAAACCAATAAAAGTGTTCGCAAATTAACTTATAGATCTACGAATAATAAAATATTAAACTTCTAATCAACGATCGAAGGAACGCTATTGGGTGAACGTGCTTTCATTTGTGCGCATGTGTGTGCGTGCATGCGTGCGTCCGTGCGTGTGGGCATGTCTGCAGGTGTGCGTGCTTACGTGCGTGCGTGCGTGCGTGCTTAGGTGCTTATACGTGTGGGCGGGCGTGCGTGCGTATGTACATGGATGCGTATGTGCGTGCGTGAATGAGTGCTTACGTGCGGGTGTGAGCGCGTAAGTGCGTGCGTCAGTACGGGCGGGAGTGCGGGCGGGCGTGTATGTACCGTGTTACGATACCTACGGTGAGTCGCGGTGAATTACTGATATACGATCACGTGTACGTTACGTACAGGTGCGCGCAGGAGTATTGCCCGACGCTCCGTGGACCGTCTCTCCCTGCTGCTGAGTCACGTCTCCGTGTTTGACCGGCGGAGGAGGCTCCACGGAGAACCGCCGCAAGAGACAGCGCGCGGCGGCGAGAAACCGAACAAGGAGAAGCCCAAGAATCTCCGCCAGCCTCCGCAGGGATTAGAGAGGAGCCGCCAGCGCTGGTCTCTCCCGCTGGCGGAGACGGCGAGGGTCGGGAATGTTGACAAAAAGACGACGGCGAAGAAATCTGTGAAGATGAGGTTGCGCATGTCATTCCCTGGTGTCGGGTTAGCACGGGAGAGCAGGCAGGCATCCGAGGTAAGACGACCGACTGTTTCCTTACGACTGGGAAATCGACGAGTGAGTTTCTTTTATTCTTAACACGATTATCCCTCGGTTATGATAAGCATAGCAATTAAGCAATAAGTAATAGAGCTAGAATTGACGAACATTGTCGTCCAGCAGCAGCGGCGATGGCGGCAGCAGCAACATTAGCAGCAATAATAGCCGTATGTATCAGGCAAATAATAACAATGATTGCATAGATCTGCCCGTCAATCAGGCGGATGGGTCGATTAATATATATATATATATATATATATATATATATATATATTATATATATGAATATATGTATACATACGTATTGTACTTGAGTCTTAACAAGACGTTACTGAGCATGACCTTACATCGAGGCGCACTGTTATACAATAGAGGACACGCTTTCCTCTCTATGTAGGACAAAGGCAGTCTAACAAGCTACATAAAGCACATTTTACCTGTCCGCGCCGTGTAATTACACGCGGCAACCACAGCGTAAACAGTGACGACCGACACGTGCCTTTTTAGCGATAATACAGTGTTGTCGTGAGCAATTCCCTTCCGCAAGGTCCGCCATTATTTTAAAGGTAGCGACCGCGATGGTAGTCCTGCGTCGTCGCATGGGTCTACATGCAATCGCAGTGAATAAAATCACTAGTTTCCTATTGCCAGATAAAACGACACGGGGTACGGTAGATTGTGATAATTATTCCGATATTCTACATTTTTAGTTTAACGCTTCTTACCGTCTCGTGCGCTATAATATAGGAGTTTTATTGGGAGTCATCGTGCCATATACCGAAAAAGAAATTAGAAAAACTCGAGCGAATACAAGGACAACAAGACCATGTCAATATATGTGGTTATATATCCGCTATCATATATACCATGTGATGTGATTTAGCCACAATTTACGCTATGATATACCCTGTGATATACATTGTGCTATTTTATACCCTGCGTTATGACATACGCGCCCCATGATACCCTATAATATAAACATAGGAATGAATATAAACAATTTATTACAAACTGACAAATATATCCATCCCTGACTATGATTATAATTATATATACCTTTGGAATTAGGCCATGATGTACCCTATGACCTACGCTACAATATCTTTGGGAGTCATAATAAACTTTTCACAAAACAAAACAAAATAAAACAAAAACAAACAACATCAACTACAACAGCAACAGCAACAACCATTGCAACTGCAACAACAACAACACCACCACCACCACCACCAACAACAACAACAACAACAACAACAACAGCAAACAAACAAAACAAACAACACAATTTGTTATATACAAGCATTATATCCTTTATTTGATAAACCTGCCTAGCGTGCTGAACAGCGGAGATCTACGGATGTGTGATTCATCCCTCACAGCAGTTACTGTACATACAGACATACATACATGGTCGGTTCCCAACGCTGCATAAACTCAACAAATATTTGTCGTCAGTTAATAAGGGAGTCGCGCTAGTGGACCCTACTGGTAGAGCATGTAGGTATAGGGGTCCATACAGGTAACGCATGCAGATATATGGGGTCCATACAGGTAACGTATCAGATATACGTACTGATGCAAGTAGCGCATACAGATAGGAGTCCATACAGGTAGAACATACAGATATATGAGTCTTTACAGGTAATGCATGCAGATATAGATGGTCTATACAGATATAACGTATCAGATATAGGTGTCCATATAGGTAATGCATGCAGATATAGGGGTTCATCTAGGTAACGTATCAGATATAGGTGTCCATATAGGTAGAACATCCAGGTATAGGGGCCCAATGCTTACATGTCACCAGGAGCGTATAATGACAAACGCCTTGATACGCTCCTGATGTCACTAATGCAGATATAGGGATCCATACAGGTAACGCATGAAAAATAGAGGGGGTCCATACAGATAACGCATGCAGATATATAGGGGGTCTTAGAACCTGCAGATATAGGGTTCCGTGCAGGTAGAACATGTGCATATATAGGAATCCATAGAGGTAGCGCATGTAGGTGCAGAGGTCTATACAGATAAAGGATTCAGGTATATATAGGGCCATACATGCAGGTAGGACATGCAGGTAGAGCATGGAAGGTAGGGCGTCCATGCAGTAATTGACGACAAGGTGCAGCCGCGGATATGTTATCGATCTATGTCAACTACCGACTACTAAGAAAATGTGCAAGCAAAACTGACTATGTGCACTATATATATATATGTGTGTGTGTGTTTGTGTGTGTGTGTGTGTGTGTTGCGCGCGCGCGTGTGTGCGTGTTGTGTGCGCGCAGCGTGTGTGTGTGTGTGTTGTTTCTTGCACTCTGCTGAGTTTCCCTGCAACATCACGTTTGTTTACGCACCCTATATTTATACACATCCGGTACGCGGAAAGGGAATGAGAAAACGCCTCAGTCTTGCTGCAAGCGGCTGACAGACGAGAGAGCTAGCAGCAATCTGTCTGCATACCACCATAGATATGTGTTCTTCACCCTACTGACACGGTACACTGCTAGATTAAAGGTTTCGGGAGCCACTAGACGTACGTGTGATATCACTATTATGCTTGATTACGCAACCCGTGTTTAGTGCCGGCCGTTTTCTGCCCGTGCGGCATAACGAACTCTACTCACACGCGCACATATATTATAGAGCCGGGAAGCATGCATAAGCGTGTGTTCGTGCATGGATGGATGTAACCCCCGATCAGGTAAGTGCTCCATATTCGTGCGTGTATGTGTGTGTGCTATTGAGTGTATGCGTGCGTAAGTGCGGACGCGTGTGTGTGCGTGAGTGTGTGCGCGCGTGTGTAAATGGCGTATATTCTAGCGTATAAATCGCATTATGTAAAGTTACAAAACGCAACCGGCAAAAAGACCTAAGCATTGTACGCAAGCTCGATCACGTTTCACATAACTCTTACCATAGTCGATAAAAAGCAATGGTGTATTTATTTGTGCTGTATGTACGTGGCCATGATGTGGTGTTGTGCAGTGGCGATATATATAGGTCTACGTGCACCTAAATCCATGCAGGAGTTTTCTAGACTTTCTGTGTATCTCTGCAACCGGTCGTTATTCTGGTGATTCTAAAAGTCACAGTGACTTAGCAAACTAGCACAGGTTGACAGACAGACGGTTTAATGGTTTGTTACCAGATGTCTTCCTAAAGACTATATTAATTTTAAACATAGTTACGGCAGCCGGCACATTTCAGGAGCATTTGATCGTAGTTTCCTATAGATGGCGACACCGTGGGATTAATTCCCGCCAAGCCTGGCGGAGGTGGAGATAACACGGGTGCGGAAGACGTCACCTTCGCGGTGCGAATGAATGACATCGGAGCGTTTGTAGAAGAAGCTCAATGCGCTGTTTACGAGTGTAGATGAGAAATGTACATATTCGCCGAAAGATGTCGCCCTTGCTCGGTTTGGCGTAGTTTGGCGCAGATCTAGTGCCATAGACAGAATGTTTTTTTTTTTATCTAGGGCTCTCGTCTGGCACAAGGAGCTAAATATAACTCCTAGCTTAGCTCCTTGGTCTGGCACTGAATTTTCCTATGCCGAGTATGCACGCGCACGCACGCACACAGGCCCGCACACACACACGTGCATGCGTGTTTGTATGTGTGCCCGTGCGTGCATACTTATGTGTATGTGGTGTGTATGTGTGTTTGCGTGCATGCGTGCGTGCTCACGTGCGCGCGCATTTGTGTGTACGCACGTACGTGCGTTCCCGCCCTAGGGGTCTTGCTAACCTGTCAAACCGACTGGAGGACAAAACAAAAAGCTTGAAATTAGATATTTCATAGATATATCAACGGAACTTAGAATCACACTAATGAATCAGTGACTAGAACATTAAATTAACGTTCAACATTAATACAAACGCAGTCGATTCATTATTCACATGCATTCATCTTTGCGATATCTTTAATTTGTTCGATGTCTCATTATACACTGCCCGTTCATCAATCATTCCCTAACATTTCAAAGATTTCAGAAGTATTACTTCGACGTTTTTTGCACATTCATTCACGGTGTGGGTATTCCCCGTCTGTGAAAGATGCACGCAATGACGCGAGCACGGTAGATGTATAGTGAGTGAGTAAGCGTGAACCTGTCACATACCAGCGCTGTCGATGCGGAGAGCTACATAGTTATACACATACGCACCACCTGTCGTAGTATACGCATATGTTTCATTGAATCCATTCATAAATACAGTGAGTAACGTTTCGCGACGCTTGCAGGAAGAATTACCATACCTCTGACTGTGAATGCGTAGTTGCATTTTACTTTACGTAAAGAGGTCTCGCGAGTTTTTTTTATTTTGGGTGTATGCTTGCACCCACTTATTTTAAGAGGGAAATGGGCGAAAGATGAAGGAAGAGGTGGAAGAAATAGTGTGTGTGAGTGTGAAGAAGAAAGAAAGGGGAACGATAGACAGCAGTAGGCGCGAGAGACAAAGGGCGAGAAAGAAAATATGGGAGATGCGAGATGAGAGCGAGAGAGAGAGCGCGGGGAAGAGAAGAAGAGAGAAAGAGAACGGAGGCTAGAGAGAGAGCGCGGAGATCGAGCAGAGGGAGAGGCGAGAGGGAAAGAGAGGACAGGGGGAGAGAGATAGGGAGTGGGAGAGAGAAAAAAGAGATAGGAGCCTAGAGATGCCAGGGGAGAAGGGGAGAAAGACAGAGAAAGGAAGAGAGAGAGAGAGGGAGCGAGACAGGGGAGATAGAAGAGAGAGAGGAGAAAGAGGAGGAGGAGAGAAAGAGCGAGAGATAGATATAGAAACCAGGATCGAGAGAGAAAGAGGAGATGGAGATGCAATAGGAAATGAGGAGAGAAGAAGAGAGAGGAGGCGCGAGGGGAAAAGATGTTCACGAATAACCGATTCGGGTTATTTCGCCCACTTTTCCGGTTTTGATTCTCCGATGGGGTGAACACGTCCCTGAAATCACGCTATCCTCACGTACTGGATCAT